GGCGACCTTCTCGCTAAGAGGCAACATTTCTACTGCGCCACCGTGCCGCCCGTGATCATTTCAGATAAGCAAAAATAAAATGCACCAAACTAGTTGTAACGACTGTCACTAGATCTTCATGTCAACCGCTGAGTCTAAATGATTTATTTTAATGTTTTCCTTTAATTCAGTGAATATTTTTAGTTTTACATATTTGAGTTTTTTTTAATTCCTCATGAATTGCAGGTTGATGCTTTGGGATAATTTTAGATAGTTCTTCACAAGAGGAGTACAAATTATTCATGTAATTTCTGATTTTCTTTAGTTGTAATCTGTTTGTTTTAGTGTTTGTGTGCGACACGACTCGACGCAACTTGTTTTGTGCAACAGTTGGAGTTGGAGTTGCTCGTCAGATGAAGCTCCAGTGACTAAAATTGCGCATCAACAAAATTCAGCGGTGTTGAGACTCTACTGCCGTTTAGCTCTGTGTTTGTAAAAGTGGCTGAGTTTGGGCCATTTTTGTGTTTAAGCCCAACTAGCTGCGGCGGCCATCTTGAGAGTTTCTCTCAAATCCACCCTGTTAGATATTTTGCTAACACCACACACAAACATCACCTTTGGGGCGATAATAATAATTTAAAAAGCTGTTTACAGCAAACAATCAGTTATGGGTTGTTGGAACAATGCCACATTTTATTTAGTTTGAACATGTTTCGGTGGTTTGATCCAGGGTTTCCTGGTTTTCACTGCTTGCTGGGCTTCCAGTCGGGGTTGAAGTGGCTGCGGAGAGGCTCCCAGCACTGGTAGTAACTCTTGTCCAGCTTCTGGCAGGTTTGCAGGCCCCATTTGGTGACAGCCATGCTGAAGGACGACTCGAACATGAAGGCCTGGAGGAACGACAAGAACAAAGGTGACGTGGGGCGGCTCTGACGTGGCTGCTTGCCCCGTGCGGAACAGTTCTTTTTACCATGGTTCCTTCGGCCACGCGCTCAGGTTTGAGCTCGGCTGAGCTGTTCTTTTCAAAGCAGTCCACGTCCGGGCCGTGGGGGGTCATGATGCTGTGCAGGCTGGCTCCTCCTGGCAGGAAACCCTCCTCTTTGGCCTCATAATGACCTTTGATCAGGCCCATGAATTCACTCATGCAGTTACCTGAAAGGACCGACAGGGGGCGCTATGACTGCACAGTACAGGACCAGTGAGCTCGAGATGTTCCACTAGATGGCCCCACAGGTGTGAGATAAAACCAGACAAAAGATGGGTGCAATGAGTCATTCAGCAGGTGGATTATTCTCTGATGGAAGGACAGGTTAGATGGCAGTTGCTGTAATCCAGTTTAGATTAACAATAATCCAAATGGACTTTATTTGATATGTCACGTCAAGCTAAATCTTTATATTTTAACTTCCAGCTAAACAGGCAGGCTCCTTTGTCTCCCCAGTAATCTTAATGTGAACCAGCTGCTGAATGCAGATGTGCTCGTGCTAAAATCACAGTGCGTGTAAAACAAGACGGTGTCCTTACGGTGATAGTACGGGGGGCGGAAGGTGTGGTCAGCCACACCCCATCGCGGAGGGAAAACGACAAAGTCGGCAATGGCCACACCCGGTCTCGTGGATTTGGCCGTCAGCACGGTGAAAATGGACGGATCCTAAAGGAAGGAGATAAATGTTACATTCAGATCTTTTAAAGTAGAAAGGTTAGCAGTCCACTTGTTGTCGCTCTTACTGTAATAAAATGTCCAGATTGATGAGCTAACACAGTTTGAGCAGGAAAAAAAGCTGATTTTGTTCTTTTAAAACAAAATATTTCATCACACTTCATGCAAACATGATTTAAGCATCA